TTGGGCAAGAAACCTAATAACGGTGACCTTGGAGAAGTAGGACAGTGTAGAATGATAGAGAAGTCAGAGAAGAGGCTTTAAGAGTAATGTAGGCCCAAGATAAAAAGGTGGGAGTGACCTGCACATACAAAACAGTGGGTACATTAAAAACTATTAGAAAAGAAGAATGAGCAAAACTGGGATATTAGCCAGTGAGAGCAAAGACAAAATCAAATTATTTAAATGTCAACCTGTGGATCCAGGAATATGATGGCTCTATTAACATTAAAAGGGTAATTTGTTTTGATGGAAGGAAAGGTTAATTAAGTGTTGACATTTTACGTTAAAGAGATTTTTGTGGGTACCTAAATAAAGATGACCTAGAGAGGACATAAGAAGATGTACAGGGACCAAAGTTTGAGAGAGCAGGTATTTCAGTGAGGTTCACCCACAAAAGCTCTCCCATGGACTATGGTTTTCACAGAGCTTATTTAAGATAGTGTATCTACCATAGTCTCTGAAATCTCTGCAAGGGAAGTTGAAGAATCTAGTCATCAGAGGATTTCTTCAGGAGAAGAGATAAAAGAGTAGAAAAGATGTACTGGTGGTTTACTAGTCACTCTGGGTAGTTAATTGGTTAAATAGCAAGGAAGACAACAGAATCAATGGTTTATTTAGTCCATCAGTAAGAGAATCTGAACTTCAGATTTATCTTAAACTTTTCCTACATGTCCATGACATTAAAATGTCCAAAGCTACTTATCTTGTTCTAATTTTCACCTGATATTTTTCCTGATGTTTTCAGGATTATAGAATGTATATAACATGATTGTGCAATTCTTCAATTTAACATAGTTGGAGGAGGAGTGAATAATAAACTTTGATAACATTCCTTTATTCATACTTTTTTTTGTCTTGCATTTCTGTTAAACATACATATTTAGGATTCATTCGGATTTTTAACCACTATATTCCAAAGCTAATTATGATCTCTTACTTACTGGCAATAGAAGGCTAATGTGGTAGTGTTCTCAAGGATTCAAGAATTTTATTCAAAAGCATTTTGAGCTCCATTTGCCTTTGATGTTTGCGTCCAGTTTCTGAAATTTGCCCAGTTGGGGGAAGGGGATGGGGGTGTGGTCTTACTATTTCCTGAAGCTCAGATGCCAAAGCAGAGTCCTTTTAGAGACATCTTGATTCTATTAGAATTTGCAGGTCAAAGGGCAGGTCCAACTGGCCTGGTAGTTGAAAGCACCAGGGATAGAGTGAATAGACCACTGTAATAACTTTAGATTTCTGCTGCTACCTACTCATTATGCTAGTAACGTTCATGTTGGTCATGCAGGGGGCGATTACTAACCACTTTGAAAGGTTTCACGTCCACATTTTTTTTTAACTGTGGAAAAGAAGGGAACAGAACAAGGAGAGTAATTTGACAGGAAGAGCATTGCAGTTCTTATTTTGCCCTGGGCTTGTGGCATGCATTTATTACCGTTCACATTTTATGTGCTTGTATTACTCCCTAGGGTCTCATGGGAATGAAGTCAGAATGTGCTACACTAGCAAGTCTCCCCTTTCTGTGGATAGTCTTTAGTTAGTAAAGCTCTTAAAGTCAGTGATTAATTCCCTTTAAGGTTCAATTTCTTTAAATCAGTATTAGAATAGGTGATCTCAAAAACTATTAACTCATATTAAAAGAAGTTATAAAAAGGACTTATTTCTGGTAATTTTTATTGTCTTTGTAGTTCTCTGTATCTTTCAGTTTTTCTTCAATGACTGTGTACTACTTTTATCAGAAAAAACTTTTTTTCAAAGAAGCAATTATATTGAGTAGACAGCTACTAAAATAAGATTCTTTTTCAATTTGCTTTTTTTTCCCCCACTGTGAATTCCATTCCCTCTGAAAAGCAGAGTATTTTTAACAAGATTTTTGAGTTTAGACACTCTCAAGTGTGCCATGTAAAACTTCATCATGTAAGTTCAACTATACCATATGGTCCTTTCTATGAGATGTATTAGAGGAACAACAATTTTCACTTATTCCCTAAAAGTCATGGCTGTTACTGTTTACTAGCTTTCACATTCTTGCCTATCTTCCAAATTTTTTCCAAGAAGTTATTCTCCCTCACAGTATCCACTTCACATACCAAAATTGTAACCAAGAGAACAATATTGTCTTTGTCCTTTTTGGAAAATAAAAGAAAAACCTAAAAGCTAGTATACCTATCAATGATAGACATTACTCAGAATTTATATGATTATATTTATAATGTATAATCAAAACATTTTATTCTCTTGACTATGAATTGCCCTTCTTAGGCACCTACACATGTAGAAATCAATATCAGGAGTATACGTTTTAAATGGAAAGGACAAAGACATGATAATTTTGGGGGGAATTTTTAGAGGATGAGAGCCATGGCCATAGAGAAAATTTGATTCTGTACACTCCATAGCATATTATTGCTTAGTAAAAAATAGCATCAATGAAGTAAAATCTCTTTGAATTGCATAAAAGATATTTCAAATTATGTACCTTATTAAAAAGACATTATTCCAGTGGCTCAGCCTCCAATGCCACATTCTTTAAAACTTTGAAATTAGAAGTCTAAATTGTCATCTGTTATATAGTGATTTGCAAATTTGACATTTTACCCCAGAGATTAACTGTACCACGCTAGCTGGCCAATCATACCATTTATGAGAGTTTGGAATGCAGTCAAGAAGCTTCAACTCTATGGAATCATTTTTACTATGTCATATTAGGATGTTTTAAGCACAAAATAGGCCCCACCAATCACCTTTGTGTTTTGTATTCAGCAAAGGTGCTGATATTTCAGTCTAATTAGATAGACTCATTTATCTGTCATTCATCTTCTGCTGCTATTTCAGTCTAATTAGATAGAGTAATTTATTTGTCATTCATCTTCTCCTGCTTTCCTGCTGCTATATGTGTGATTCTGACTATTGGTGCACAGAAATGTAGCACCCTCACTGGGAAAGCATGCTTCTTATTCCAGCTTTGTCAGTCTTTGAGCTTCCCGAAAGGGAACAGATGACCACAATCAACAGGAAACTGCATAGTTAGACCATCTTGAACTCTTTCACCTTTAAGCTCGTTTCACCACTTAACATATTTTTTTCAAGTGGTCAGTGGATATATTTAGACTGTCATTATCCCTTTAGCTATGACTGGATCCTCGTAGTATAAGTTGCCTGCTATTTCTTAGAATTGCATAGTGTGGGGACCATGCATTGAGAATCGTCTCTCCTCTTCCAGCAGCAAAACTAGTGAAACAAATCTTTATTTCCATGATGTAAACTGAGTATACATCTTCCATTTGTTAGTATTGCTTTCAGAGTTGAGTTTACCTACGCATCCAGAATAAAGAATATCCACTAGAATATTCAGTAGATAGTCTTCCAGTCTGTGGCTAAACTAAAACTCTTCCATATGACTGCTATTGAAGCTCAATTATCTTAACAAAAGACAGAAGCAAGGATAAACTTAGGCAATGGGTTCTCAGATTCAGCATTTCCTCAGGTCAAAAGCTCAGGCCACTTATATAGTTCCTATAAATCAAATATGTCTTCTTTCATAAAAGATGAGCTACTGAGAAATACATTTTAGATTATGAAACTAATTGTTCAACAACTTCATTCTGATTATTTTGTAAATTTCTTACATCAGCCTCCCCACTAAATCCATCTTTTTTTCCTTTTGGACATAAACCATAAAGTAATTATTAGCCAAACCACAAGGAATCAGTAAAGTTTAAATTACTGTTTCAAAATGTGCAGATCATTGCCAATAAAGCCACAACTGCAAACTTAATTGCATTGATGCGATTAAAAGAATGATTGATGTTCATAATGCGCCAGGAATAGATGGCTGTGTTTCTATATCCACTTTATTAACGTTTGTGATTTGTTGTACACTGAATGCATGAAAATGCTTTCAGTGTCAGTAATGCCTCAGTTTGTTTGGAAGCTACAGAATAATTATCAAAGGAGTAAGTTAAATGGATAAAGCATATACGTGACAAGATAAAGAACAAAAAGAAAGTAACTTTTTTTACTTTTTAAGTTCACCTACAACTATATCTAAGAACTCTTTTTTTAAAAATATGAAATACTAATTTCTTACTAATATAGTTTTTTTTAAGGTTAACAATTTTATTTTTTGAGTTAGGGTCTTCCTTGTTACCCCCACTGGAGTGCAGTTGCACCATCTCTACTCACTGCAACCCGCCTCCCAGGCTCAAGAGATTCTCCTACCTTAGCCTCCCGAATAATGAGTAGCTGGGACCATACGCATGTGCCACCACACCCAGCTAATTTTTTGGGGTCTTTCGTAGAGATGGGGTTTTGCCATATTGCCCAAGCTGGTCTCAAACCCCTGGCCTCAGGTGATCCACCCACCTTGCTTTCCCAAAATGCTGGGATTACAGGTATGAGCCACCGTGCCTGGCCTAAACATTTTTTAAGCTTTATTTTATTGTAGTAAGAAGATTTAACATGGGGTATACCCTCTTATTCACTAAGTGTACAATACATTATTGTTAATTATAGAATGTCATACAGAAGATCTCTAGAACTTACTCATCCTACATAACTTCTGCTTTACGCCCATTGATTAGCAACTCCCCATTTTCCCCTCTCTCCTCTCCCTTGTGACCACCATTCTACTCTCTGTTCGCATGAGTTTGACTATTTTAAATACCTCATGTAAATGGAAACATGCAGTATTTGTCTTTCTGTGACTGGCTTATTTCACTTAGCATAATATAGAGGAACTTTTTGAGATAGCAATGTAACAACATGATAAAGACATTTAGAGTCAGAATAGCCTGAACAGGATTCCTCGTTGCACCATTTACTACAAGTGTGAACTTGGGCAAACTGTGTAAACTCTAAAGTCTTGGTTTTATCCCCCTTAAAATGGAGGTAATGATAATAGTAACTTCAAAGAATTGTTAGAAGGGGTCAATCACACTGTTGGCATTTTCTTCCTTTTGCAGGCAAGAAGCTCTTCTGGCTGCCATTAGTGAAAAAGATGCCAATATAGCCCTCTTGGAGCTTTCATCCTCTAAGAAAAAGACCCAAGAGGAAGTGGCTGCACTGAAGCGGGAGAAGGATCGTCTAGTACAGCAACTTAAGCAGCAGGTATTATTAAATGCCAGGAGGAGGGTCAGTGGGGTCAGCTTTCACAGCATTCTCTACACAGGTCTTTGCCAGCTTGTACTTTAAGGTCTCATGTTTCATATTAGACATCTGATAATTGGATATAGTTAATTTTCATCATCAGAGACTTTTTATCTCCACAAACCTGTGGCTGTGTCTAGGAAATGCATATTATTTTTGGTAAGAGGGCTGTTTTGGACAGTGTCACACAGGTCTTCTATGACGATGTTTTTTAACTTTGTACAGTGGATTGTAGAAATTAGTGAAATTAGCCCATTTGACATGAAAAGGCTTTTTTTTTTTTTTAACATCCAACGATTTCTGTGACAGCAGGTACTAAGGATATTTTCATTAAAAGATTTTGTTATTCAGGATTAGGTAAGCTCTAAGAACAAAGGGTTGGCCCTTTTCTTCTCCAGCCTAAACACTCTCAAAATGTAATGCTTAATGTTCATGTAACACCTTTTGTTTGTCAAAATAAAAGCTAAAAGTTTCCCCTTTGTTGATGGTTGCACAACAGTGTGAATGTACCTAATACACAAAACCATCAATTTAAATATGGTTAAAATGATAACATTTTATGTTAGACATATTTTACCACAATAAAAAAAAATGGGGAAAAACATTTCCCTTTGAAGATAAGGAGAGTGCCGGTTGTTTACATCAGAGCCCTGCTTGAACTTCAGCACTCTTCACTGAGTGCTCCTGGCTGTGCGCAGCATCCGCATCCCAGCCTCTGTGACCATACCCTGCATTCCAAGTCACATTGTCTTTACATTTTGGCTACCCAGGTGTGCTCTTTTCCCTCAAGTAATGAGACCAAGAAAGGGCTTTTAAAGTGAATAAATTCCTTTTTTTCTATATTTGGAGGTCAGTCATCAATTTGATGGTATTTTGGCATATGCTTATATTAAGAATCAATATTTAAACAACGAAGTTATTTTCTCTGTGGGTCAAATTAAAACTATTTAGAAATAGACTTTATATGTATTTATGTTGCACACTTTGCAGAGAAAATACCAAAATATTTTCCTTTTCTGCAGGATGGATAGCTGACTAGCAAAAAGTAACCCATTGCTCATTCACAAGTGAAAGAAAACTTTTCCAGGGTCCTAAAATACTTTTTAATAAGAACAGGACATCATCTAATATTTTGACTACCTGTTATGTAAAATAGGAAGAATGTGCATATTATTAAAGACATCTGTCCAGTAGTTGAAAACTGAAATTTGGCTCATCAAAGCTGATAATAGCAAATTGGAGGGTATTATTAAAGAAAGGAGTTTACTGCTGTGTGTTTATATATTTAGCAATATCAGTTAAATAGTTAGTCTTGAATACATAGGCGTATGATTTAAGTAGTTTATGATCCTTTTACTTAAGACACCAGCTAGAATAGAATATCTAGCAGACCAGAATACCATACCTCATTTGTAGTGGTTTTTGATTACTGGCTTCTGAAGACCGTATGTTTTCATTATATGAAAATTAAGGAAATTGGCCAGGCACAGTGACTCACACCAATAATCCCAGCACTTTGGGAGGCTGAGGCCAGCAGATCATGAGGTCAGGAGATTGAGATCATCCTGGCCAACATGGTGAAACCCCATCTCTATCAAAACTACAAAAATTAGGTGGGTGTGGTGGCACACATCTGTAGTGCCAGCTACTCGGGAGGCTGAGGCAGGAGAATCTTGAGCTCAGGAGGTGGAGGTTGCAGTCAGCTGAGATCACACCACGATGCTCTAGCCTGGCAACAGAGCAAGACTCCATCTCAAAAAAAAAAAAAAAGAAAAAGAAAAGAAAAGAAAATTAATTAATCTATGAGCTTATAATCTTAGAAGGAAGTAGCTAAAAAAATTCTCAGTGTCTTTATATCAGACTATATGCCTTGAATTTTCTGTAGTGATGTGCTCTTTATAAAGAGAAAAATAATAACAGTTCTCAGGAGTCCTTCCTATAGTCTTCTCCTGTCTCCTTTTCACATTCCTGCCCTTTCAAAACGTATCTGGATGCTGTGAGCAAGAAGGAAGGAGTCTTGCCAAAGGCATTTGATTCCTTAATTCCTCCAAGAGTGTGTACTAACTTTTGGACAAGGGAGCAACCTTTTGGAAAGAGGATATGGTATCAATGTTGTTTTAATTTAAAGCTTCTAGTACTTGAATTGCTGGAATGTGCCTCAATCTAAAGGCTATTTCCTAACAGGGAAGCAGTCAGCATTGACCAGGCTTTCCAGCAAATGGAGCTGCCTGATAGGCTCTTGGCATTCACATGTGATTCCTATCGTCAGAAAGAGGTGAAGCAATGAGGGATATATAGATTTGGGGGTCACCTTCTAATATGGTCCCAATTTACTTATCCCCTCTCACCACCCCCCACCCTGCCCCCTGCAGGATAACTTCTGCTTGACTCATTCGTGGCAAAGCAGCACTTGGAGAGGCTGCATCAGAGGAAGGGGCCAGGGCCAATGAAAAAAATAAAAACTAAAGGTTGTCTAACAAACTCCAGATGTTCTGTGGTGGGTGCCAACCAGTGTGTTTAGACCTTAAGTCATGAAGAAGAGCCCCCGCTGTGATTGTCAGGCCCCTGCACGAGATTTAATGTAAACTCAGATAGAACCCTGGAAAGCATTAATACAATCTGTTTAGTCACAGCAGCTGTCACAAGATGGCCTTTCTCTCAGCATTATTTTCTTCTTTTCACCTCCAGAATTTTACAACCTCCATATTGTATTGGTTGCTAGTGTGAAATCTTGCTTTGCCCCTGTGTGCTCTACACAGATGTGTCATAGGCAAGCTGGGCTTTGCAAGACAGGCTAGGATTTTTTTTTTTTCCTGTATTTAAGCATCAACTATAACAGTATAAAAGTAAGGCTACAAACTTAAACTGATTTGGTTTGAATCTAGTTAATCGCATTTACAACTGCAATTTTGTAATCCTCTACATTAGAATTAATTGTCACACAATATATTATCTGATTCTAGTATTTTATAGGCATGAGGGATAAAAGGCATGGTACTGGTCTTAAAGGAACTCAAGCTAATGCATAAAAGACTGATTGTTCTAGACATTTGACAGAGCCATTCTGTGTTAGTCCATTTTCACACTGCTCTAAAGAACTACCTGAGACTGGGTAATTTATAAAGAAAAGAGGTTTACTTGACTCACAGATCCACATGGCTGGGGGAGGCCTCAGGAAACTTACAATCATGGCACAAATTGAAGGGGAAGCAAAGCACATCTTACATGATGGCAGGAGACAGTGCAATCAAACAGGGAACTGCCACACACTTTTAAACCATCAGATCTTATGAGAACTCACCATCTTGACAACAGCAAAGGGGATATCTGTCATCAGTGTCCAGTCACCTCCCACAAGGCCCCTCCCTTGACACATGGGGATTACAATTCGAGGTGAGATGTGGTTGGGGACACAGAGCGGAATCATATCACATTCTGTAGATGGTAGTCCTGGCCTTCCCATCTTTTTGTACTGACAGCTTTAGCAGGTCATCCAAACATTGTGTAACTTACTTACCCATTTATTTCAGATTTACCCCACAGAGTTGGTGTGAAATTAAATAAGATAGCAAACCTAAAGTGCTTAGAATCCTCATTTCCGTTCCCTATCACTGATAGCCCTGTTCACAGTGAGAACTGTGGCATAGGTGACACGTGGTACATTGTACATTGAGAGAGGGGTAGTCTCCATAAATATGGCCCTCATTCTTGGTTATCTCTAATGACTTTATTTAATGTGCAGACTAACAGTGTTCAGAATTACACAGCTAGCACATGGTGTCCCACTTCTCTCAGGAAGAATATATTTCTGAGGGCAGTTAGGAAAAAGAAGTAGAGGTACTTTTTATCCTTCATTTTTTCCACTTATTCTTTTTAATGATATGGCTTTAATGTAGAATTTTTAAAAAATAATTCTAGATTCTAATATGTCTTTCTTAAATCTTACATTTTCGTCACTGAAGAACATTTAAATGCCCATCTGCCTGAAGTCCTCAACTTTAGGAAAATGATAACTCCCAAGCATATATTCCATCTCACTTGCCTTCTAGTTCTGTGATTTTTCCCCATGTTACCTCTCTATTCCATATACCCCTGAGTAGTATAACTTTTCAGAATTCTGTGAAAATAGAGCAGCGACAGTAATGGCCACCACGTACCATTTGACTGTAGCATGTGGGGAACAAGGGCTTTCTATCACAGGATCTTCCCTACAGGTCTGGATAGTATCTTCATTATGTAGAGGAAGCACTTCAGACCCAAAAAGGTTAAAATTGTGGCTAAATTTCCACAAAATATGGAAATAGTGGGCCCAGAATTAGAACTGATTCTCTTCTCACTGTTCCTCTCTTATGTGAAGACTCCAGATGATTAGCAATTAGATTGTATTAGAATTAGAATAATATACACAATGCTATTTTATGTTTTTATGATACTGGTTTGTTCCCCTGAGAGACAGAAAAGGGTATCTGTTTATATTCCAGCCCTTCCCGTCTGTCTATAAAGAACCAGAAACAAAAAAGAAATGGTGTGATTTGTTTTGAGTTTTCCTTTTCACTGTTCTAGGCTGAGCATCACATTCCTATACACACAGTCTTTCTCCAGACATCCCAGCACTACTTCCTTGAGATTACATCAGGTGATCCAGTTGGTGTTGGGAATGACCCCATATTCTTTAGTCAAGTATTTCCATAGAGTAGTTTTCTACTGTGTTATGTGTATTTTACTTGTTTAATCCTCCCAAGACTGCTTTATTTCCATAATCGCTAAGTTCTTGTTGGAAAGAGTATTTCACTGTTGCCTCAAGTACTTTCAGGAGGTATGGTATGAAAAAATAGCTGAATCCAGTGAATAATATTTTGAGTAACTGTCTATTAACTTCTGTGCACTATCTAGTTAGCAGTTTTTAGTCTTTCTTGTGGCACTGCATATGATACCTTGTATCATACCTTTACTCTTCTTAC